GTGAAATATATTTATGTTTGTGGTTGTAATGTGACAAAATATGGAAAAGTTCAAGGGGTATGAATACTTTTGCAAACCACTGTATTTACTGAGAAAAATATCGATGTGTTCAATACTTATTTTACCCACTTTATAATAACAATGAAATATACGTGGATAATTTTTGTGAAAGGTGGTTTAAGATGGCCGCAACACCAATCGAATCTTGTGTAAATCTTTGGCATTCAAGGTGGCAGGGGTTATGCATTTCTTCAAAGCTTGCTGGTTTTATTTGTCTTCGATTTATCCTGCAGTAAACTTTACTAATGTGGTCTTTGGTCACAAAAGACAAATGGATAACAGGCAGTGTTGACAACTTGCTGGGAAAAGTAATGGATGATGTAGAGAGAATGCTTGACATGTGAGCAGGTGAAAAATCAATGGAAGTCAGAAGCAGAGTATTTATTTTAATTGATAAAATAGTCAGAAACACGACCGCAGGTATATCTTGCTTCATAACTAGTGAAATGGTCTAAAATCTGGTCTAAAATCTATCAAAATTTACTGAGCACACGTCTGATTCTTCCTTCCTCCTAAACTGTCTGCAGGTATCGGCTATGCTTCTATTGTCATCGTCTCTCTTCTGAATGTCTACTACATCGTGATCTTGGCCTGGGGACTCTACTACCTCTTTCAGTGCTTCCAGCCCGAGCTTCCGTGGGCAAAATGCAACCAGCCCTGGAACACGGAGAACTGCATTGAGGACACAGTCCGCAGGAACAAGAGCCTCTGGATGGCAGCCAACCATACCAACTTTACCTCCCCTGTCACAGAGTTCTGGGAGTGAGTATTCACTGACACGTGAATAGACTAAAACTAACGCTGGCTCTTTATCTGGCTTGTGTAAATAAGTTTGACCAGGCAGGATCCACTCTTGCACGGTTTATTTTTGTAAAAGTGCCCCATTTATGAGGATCCATTTTAAACTTTATCCCCACTGCAACTTTAAAGTTAAATGCAGCTTTAAAGTTTAACGCTAGTCATCAGACTAAAATGCAGCGCTATCTAGAAATCCAATTTTTTTAAATGTTTTCTGAGATGTTTAAATGTAATGAAACTTCAACAGAATGAGCAGTGCTAAATAAGTGCTGTGGATGCAAAATAAAATGTTTAATTTTTTTATTTTATTTTATTTCTGGAAAGCTCAATAATCGAGGTAGAAAATTTTCACAAGGTTGAATCAGAATGGATGGGATCTTCGTTGACACGTTTCATTATTAACCAAAGGATGACTTCAGTATGAGGAGTTGCAGGCAAACTCAGCCTGATAAGCACTACCTTTGTACAATGGATCATCCACTTTGCTGGTGACAACCAAAACTTGTTCACATGCAAAAGGAGGACCATCAGCCTAACAAATGATTGTTAGTGTCCTGATAGTCGCTTGTTGTTCACAGAGGGTTGAAAAATACTTGCAACCATGTTTCCACAAAGAAGAACCAAGGACCTGACTCAACCTTGTTAGACTAAAGAGGTTGCTTTGCTGCTGTTAACCATTTGTAAACACTTGTTGCCTCTGCAGACGTAATGTCCTGAGTATCTCCACTGGGATTGAAGACATCGGGCCACTGAAGTGGGATCTAGCCCTGTGTCTCCTGGCAGTGTGGATTATCTGTTTCTTCTGTATTTGGAAAGGAGTCAAGTCCACAGGGAAAGTGAGTGATCCTGTACTTATTGTGTTGCTCTGATAAAACACTGTTGCTCAGAGAGAACTAACAGGATCCAAAACAAGAGCAAGGTTTTCGATTTAGGAACTTAGTATTCCTGAATGTTACTCCTTGGTCCATTAGACAGATGTGTGCCATTGCTTTGCCCTACCTTTGTTTCTGTTACCAGGACAGGAAACTAGGTCAGAGTCGACAGGAGCCACTCTGAAAAGAATGATTAACTCCATTACAAGCTATTTGTACGTTTAATTCCCCTAATGGAACCTACAGTTTGGTCAGATAGGAGTGCCTTAAAATGGTTTAATGTTTAACCAGGCAGCAGTTCAGGAAGTGAAAATCTTTCACATAAACTGTTGTAATTACTTCACTTTACACATACACGCCTGAAACCGAAAACTTTGTGTTGTGAGAAATTGTTACAAAAGAAAAGATTATGTCCTTTATCATTTAATTACAGTAGAAACAGCAAACTGTTTTCTCTTTATTACATTGTGTTTAACTATTAAGATCTTTGTCTTTTTAGGTGGTGTATGTAACGGCAACATTTCCATTTGTGATGTTAATCATACTGCTGATTCGTGGTGTGACTTTGCCTGGAGCCGCTGAAGGGATCAAGTTTTACCTTTACCCTGACCTTACTCGTCTCCAGGATCCAGAGGTGGGCTCAAAAAGCTTGTTTAATTACTTTATGTCCCCACTCATTTTGATATTCTTCCAAACATAAAGGAAATGATGTGACCCCTTTTTGGAAAAAGTCCCATTGCTCTAAACTTTTGAATCAACTAGCAATGTCGAGCTTATTGCTGCCTAAAAACAGGAAACAACCAGATCCTCTGGGCTCAAAATGATTGAAAACCCCCTGCTTTCACTATCACATCCCACTAAATGTTTTAAGGATGATTATCATGCAATAAAAACCCCAGGCAGCCACTAAGTGAGCTGCTGAGTACATCCTGTATCTGTCAGCAGCGTATTAATAACTGAACATAAAATCAGGGAACAGGCAGGAGATAAAGAAACTTTAATGAAAATACGGAAACAAAGCACAAAGCAGCGCATGAGCAGGAAATCTAAATAAAGTCCAAACAAACCCCAAATTCCCACCTCAAAAGCATAACAAGAAGACAAAGTCAGTAACAGAGCTTGGAACCAAATGAGACAATAAGGATTGAACAAATAAAACAAGTTTATATGAGTAAGTTTAGGCAACCATTCAAAACAACACAAGTTGTAAACGAAACACAAAACACATGTTCAGAAAACAAGCACAACTAAACACACAACAGAAAATCTGTTTCAGAATTAATAGGAAATAAAAGTAGTCCTAGGTGAGAAAATATGCAAATTTTCACAAAGGTGCCATCCATCCATCCATCCATCCATCCATCCATCCATCCATCCATCCATCCATGCATCCATCCATCCATCCATCCATCCATCCATCCATCCATCCATCCATCCATCCATCCATCCATCCATCCATCCATCCATCCATCCATCCATCTATCCATCCATCCGTCCGTCCGTCCGTCCATCCATCCATCCATCCATCCATCCATCCATCCATCCATCCATCCATCCATCCATCCATCTATCCATCCAAAATGGTAAATGGCTTGAACTTATGTAGCGCCTTATCAAGTCCACTTGGACCCCAAGGCACTTTACACTTCAGAAATTCACCCATTTACACACACATTCACACACTGATCACACTGATGGCAGTAAGCTACAGCCACAGCTGCCCTGGAGCACACTGACAGAGGCTGCCATGCACCGGCGCCACCAGACCCTCTGACCACCCTCAGTAGGCAAGGTGGGTGAAGTGTCTTGCCTAAGGACACAATGACTGAAATGGCTGGACAGGGGATTGAATCGGCAACCTTCTGGTTCCAGGACAACTCCCCTAACCACTCCACCACAGCTGCCCCAAATACAGTATCTTCCACTTATTTAGATTCATGTTGCAGGGACAGCAGTTTGAGCAGAGAGGCCCAGACCTCTCTTTCCCCAGCCACCTCTGTAGCTCTTCTGGAGGGATTCCAAGATGTTCCTAGGCCAGCTGAGCGGTATAGTCTCTCCAATGTGTTCTGGGTCTTCTCTGGGGTCTCCTCTCAGTCAGACATGTCTGAAGCACCTCCCTACCTCCCTAAGAGGCTTAAACGGCTCCTCCCATTGTGGAGGAGCAGCGGCTCAACTCTGAGTCCCTCCCGGATGACTGAGCTTCTCACCCTATCTCTAAGGGAGAGCCCAGACACCCTGTGAAGGAAACTCATTTCGGCCGCTTGTATCCGCGATCTCTTTCTTTCAGTCACTACCCAAAGCTCGTGACCATAGATGAGGGTAGGAACGTAGACCGACTGGTAAATCGAGAGCTTCGCCTTCTGGCTCAGCTCTCGCTTCACCACAACAGACCGGTACAGCGCCCGCATCACTGCAGATGCAGCACCAATCCGCCTGTCGATCTCCTGCTCCATTCTTCCCTCATTTGTGAACAAGACCCCAAGATACTTTAACTCCTCCACTTGGGGCAGGATCTCTTCCCCGATACAGAGAAGGCACACTACCTTTTTCCGGTTCGAGATCATGGTCTCAGATTTGGAGGCACTGATTCTCATCCCGGCCGCTTCACACTCAGCTGTGAACCGCTTCAGTGAGAGCTGAAGATCACGATCTGATGAAGCCAATAGGACCATATCATCCGCAAAAAGTAGAGACGTGATCCTAAGGTCACCAAAAAGGATCCCCTCAACACCTCGGCTGTGCCTAGAAATTCTGTCCATAAAAGTTATGAACAGAATCTGTGACAAAGGGCAACCTTGGCGGAGTCCAACTCTCACTGGAAACAAGTCTGACTTACTACCGGCAATGCGGACCAAGCTCTGGCACCGGTCGTACAGAGACCTAACAGCCCGTGTCAATGGGCCTGGTACCCCATACCCATACACAAGAGTCCCAGAGGGACATGGTCAAATGCCTTCTCCAAGTCCACAAAACACATGTAGACTGGTTGGGTGAACTCCCATGCACCCTCCAGGACCCTGCTGAGCATGTAGAGCTGGTCCAGTGTTCCACGACCAGTGTTGCCAGGTGGGAAATGTTGAATTATCGTATCAGCAGCTCAAAATTATCGTATTTTGAGGAAAATTATCGTACACACCCAAGTTACATTCTAGAGAGGCTCAAATTTATAAATACATCCTGCTCAGCTCACAATGTGCTCTGTATTCAACAAACTACACATTCTTTTATTTATAATAAAGTTAAAAAGAACTGTTGGGTGTCTTTTTATTTTTTTTTTACAAAAGCTT